CCTTGAACAACATGAAAGGGGGCTATTTTTTAATTATGCCGCAATAAAAGCTAGAGTTTTGCAAGAAGATGAATCTTTGCCAATTGATAAAATTGGCGAGCAAAAATATGGTTTTACAACAAAGCATATGCCTTCACCTAGTACTACATCATATTATACACCCCCTACACAATTGCAAAATTTCGGCAACACTCATGTGTCATTGCCGAAAGAATCTAAAAGCATTGGGGGCAATCATATCCGGAGTGGGCTGAGATTGAGAAAAAACTTAAAGCCAATTTTACCGCTTGCCGCCATAAACAAATAGAGAAGGAATTGGCTCAAATAAAAGAAGCATTGCCAATTGGTAGAATCAATGAAAAGAAGGATGATTCGGAACATGAAGGTGCTTCCGTTAAAAAAGCCGAATCAAGTAGTTTATATTCTGAGTCCATCAAACCCAAAGCGGCAAGCATTATTGAGAAAGGGCATCGCAATCATAGGAAAACGACCATGCTTGATTTTTCTGAAGTTAAGGGAACCTACTTCCTGCCCTATGAGTTCCGTGCCGTAGAAATTGACAAGCCTCAAGCACAAGAGCAAGTAGCCGAACAAAGTTTGGCTGATAAGGATCTTCAAGGTAATGATGCACGGAATAAAGAAAAAGATGATGAAAAGGTGTTGGAGAGTCATCCAAAGACGGAGCAAGATGTTCTTCAAGTGGCACCACCATCATGCTCTCCCAACATATTTGAAGAGGTATGCATAGAGAGTAATTTACCTATTTTCAGATTTGGTTGCAACTTCATTATTGATGCATCTATAAGAAATATTCTCATAAGTAATTTTGAAAGACCAATGAAGAAGGGTAATTTACTTGTTAGCAATAAAATTGTTATGGAACCTATCGGTCCACCCATTGCGCCATTTATAAAGACCGATAATGACTTATTGCTACAGCGAAATCTTTCCCCGTTGCTTTGTCTAAAGTTCATATCTAGTTGGGTAGCTTTGCTTATTTCGTACTTGGCTTGCACTTGGTCTCAACTGAGACATGTATGTTCTAAATATCTTTGTTTCAGAAATTTAAAGCCAAGGTTAAATTCTATTGAGAAAACCGATGCTAATATAATATCTTATCGAAAGACATCGGAGATAGAGTGGAAAACAAAATGCATAGCCGAATGGGGAGATTCCAAATCTGAACCATTCGTTTGCTTATCTCCAAAGCCGTTCACACAGCAAGATCGGCTAGAAACAAGAAGTATACCTTCAATTCAAGCATGTGTGATCAAATATTTGATTTATTGCTAAAAATAATTACATAAGAATTCTTGATCACCATGTTGAGCCATCTATCCAAGGATGAATGTATTGTAAGTTGCATTATTCGTTCAAGCATAATTTTGAGGATTGCAACATGTTCCGTCAAATAGTTAAATCGGCCATTGAAAAAGGATGATTGAAGTTTGTTGAAACACGAGGAGATGACCAGTCTATTCCGATTGGTCCCGATGGCAAAAAGTTTTTGCATCGGCTCCTTCAAGCCGATCCATTCAAAGAGAAGGTAAAAACTGCAGGTGATGGGATCAAGCTTTCAAGTAAAGAAGTGGTTGAAGAGCATAATGAACATAATCTTGAGGGCAAGTCCATCGAAGCTACAATGAAGATACCAAGTACTGGGGGCAGCAAGCAAATCCAAAGATCGGTGCAAGCACAACCAAAGAAAACAAAGGCCGACGTAAGCACAAAGGTAAAAAGCCAAAAGTCACTTTCGCACAACTATTGGAAAAATATCAGAAGATAAGTGAGAAGAACATTGCTTATCGGCCAACTAATGCAAAAGCATCAAGATCACCCCCTAGGCACAAACCCAAGGATCGATATTGGCAAGAAGAGAATTTGAATGCAACTTGTTCATATCCTTACTTTAGGCCGCCAATGCCAATGTCGTGGATGCCTCCCTATGCTCATGTAGATCCATATCCATCATGGGACAGGTATGATACAAGGGAACACTCTCCATCTTATTTTAGAATATCTCACCAATATTATGCAGCTCCAAGAAAAACAACATTTGAACAATCACATGTTAAAGACTGTTTCAATCATAAGGAATCGGTCTGGAGCTCAAGGAAGAAGAAAGAGGTTGTCAAACAAGTTTACCGCGTTAAAAGAGATGGTCGTAAGAGTGCTACTTCAGATTTGATCTCAAATGAAAAAGAGCCAATGAAAGTGTTGACATTGGCTACTAAAGGCAATGAGATGAATCAACCAATTATTGAGAGTCAAAGTGCCAAATCTGAAGAAAAGAAGTTGAGAGTGCGCAAGGCCAAGAAAGAATTGCCATTGGTCAAAACAGAATCACAGCCGAGATGCCCACTCGGCTTATCATATTGGCAAAAGAAGAAATTACAAAATCTTAGTGCACAAGAGCTGAAAAAGAAGAACATGGCATGGGTTCCCAAGAAGATCAATCAAGACAAAAATGATGTGCATGCTTCTATTGCAACAAGTACAATAAAAGTGAAGAAGGAAAAGAATGAAAGCAACAAACAATTAAGCCGAAGGTGCGCATAACAACATCAAAATCTTTGGTTAGCACATCATCCATTTTCTTCAACCATGCCGTTGATACCTTTGCCATGGAATTCATCCCTAGGTATGATCAATTACCCTCCATGGATTTATTTTGATCCATGGATGCAACATAATTTTCTATATCATGAAAGGGTATTACCGAATTACTATACATTTGGTTAGTTACATTGTTGCTAATACAAAGGGGCCGAAATATTTTATTCCTATTTTATTTTTTTATTTCGGCTATACATACTTTGGTGGGTGAATTCTACATGAACCTCATGTTAATGGCCGATATTTATCTATCGCCCTAAGAATATGTCAAAGCATGGCCGGTCTAGTATCCTAACATCGTCCTTAGTTCAATTGGAGACTAAAACAAGCCTCATGCCGCTTAAAATATTTTTTCACAATGATCAAAGCCGAATATAAAATTTTATTCGGTTTGGATCTTTTGGTTGCCATAGGTGCTATACATATTGAGGCTTTGGGTGATTCGTTATGAGTAGTACAACAAATATCCAAGAGTTATCAATGTTTTGACGAATCACTTATAGTTTACTTGAGGTATGTCTTGATGCAAAATTTACCTTGGGTTCCTTTAACATTGTTCATATTTCTAGACATGACAATTCAAGAGAGTTGGCACAGTAAGCATCTGGCTACTATGTTAATCATGGTGTATTGCATTTATGTCAATAGCCGATGCTTAGTCTCGTCAACAGAGGTAAGGCCGAACCGAAGTCCACCGCTTCGGCCACTAATGATTTTTTTATGCAGGCGAAAGCAATGATTTGAGAAAGTTCATTGTTGATTACCTGCAAAGTCCTAGCAAAAGGGTGATTAATATGGTCCGTAGGATGACCCTGAGATACATATCTATGGAACTTCATCATCGGATTGTTAACAAAGTTGAGAATGTTTCACCCAAGTTTACATCAAGGATTCAAACAAATAATGGCCGATATATATTTATCGCCCTAAGCACATGCAAAGTGGACGATGGAGTGTTGACATCGTCCTTAGAACCAACACAGTACAAGTTAGTTTTCGGCACGCTACCTTTGCCGAAAAACAGGGGGGCATGTGTTGACGCTAAAAAATGGCATGATCGCAAAGAGTGACTTGAGTCTATAATGGATGAGGCTAAAATTATGAGTTCATGTCACCATTTGATGGCCCTCTTCAAGATGATCGAAATAAATATGAAGATGGACCAAAACAGAGCTCAAGTGCAAAAGATATGACAATTTTGGAGATACTCGTGTTGACACCAGATTGAAGAATGGCATGAAACCTAATTAATACGGCCTTGGAAGGAAAAAGTTACAACTGAAAAGTTGTGCGTCTCGTCGAAACGGTGGATTTTTATATAAAAATCGTCTTAATCCGAGGTCGTATGCAACCTGTGGAGGCAAAACAAGGTCAGAAACAAAAGTTGCAGAGTCATTTCGGACCGACCGAGTTGATTTGATCGGTGAGACCGAGTTGGTACGAAAATTTACCAGAGAGTTGGCAATGTTGACTTGGTAGGACCGAAATGAACCAATTGGTGAGACCGAGTTGGTCCGAGAAATTGCCAAAGATTCCTGTCTGAGTTAGGTTAGGGTTTTTGACGTTTTGGATGGACTTTTTAGTCCTTTTCTTGTACGGGAAGTCCAGCCGCCTCATAAATAGATGAGAGGTGACGGCCGATTGAACAACACACAATCGAACAAATCTATCTATATCTTTTACCTTTACTTTTCCTTCTCCCTTGTTCTTCTTCTTCCTCGTTCTTCGTTCATTCTTCTTTTGCAGGGCGGCGAACCTCGAGGCCTAGGGGCGGTCGGGCCGACCTAGGGCAGCCCATAGCCGCCGCGCGCCCTGACGGGGTCTCTCCCGGGCGTGTGGGGTTTCGGGTCTACAAAAGCGTCCGCCGGATTGTCTTGCGTACCGTGCTTCCGGACGGGTCTCCTTCGACGTGCGCTGCGGTGCATCACCCTCGACATTGGAGCTACACGGTGACGTGTTCGTGTGCGAACAAGGTGGGCACTGTCTTTTTCTCTTAAACTGGTGTACGATTCTTCCTGGTCTCCAATTGAAGCTTGTTACTACAGTAGATGCTAGCAAATCTCTTCTATGTATATCGTTACTTGTCTCTTTTTGTGATTGATAGATTGATACTGATAGTTCATCAAACCGAAATAATGTGTATTCCTGAAATTTCATGAGTGTAACATGGTCCTTGTAAGAAGTTAAGAGTAATTGATTGCTATTCTTGATGATGCAGCTTTACTTTACTGATTTTCAGTTGTTTCATAAGCACAAGTCTGAATGAGAGTAGGATTAATTGAGGTTCATCTACTGGAGTATTTTGAAGAATAAATGCAAATGATTGACATGATATTTCACTTGAACTCCTTAAATGTTGTTTTATCTTGTAACAGGGTACTAAAATGAATACAAGTCAGCGTTTCAGTGATTTATTATGGATGCCGCACAGCCAGCATAAAATATCCAAATCTTGGGAAAATGTGAGTATTTATCGAATTTCCATGTTGTCTGTTGCACTTTGTGGTTGGCTGAAACTGATTTTTGTATATCTTAATGCAGCCTAACATTTGCTTGAATGTTTGGTGTCATCGTGTTGGCATTCCAGTGGATCCTCTTTGTAGCGCAGCCTTAGAGAACCTTGGTTTTTATCAAATTGCAAAAATGACGAAAATCAATGTCGACAAATATTTGATATCAGCATTGGTCGAGCGTTGGCGGCCTGAGAAAAATAGTTTTCATTTACCTGTAGGAGAAATGACCGTTACACTACAAGACGTGAGTTGTTTGTGGGGGTTGCCTATCCATGATAAACCACTTATTGGCAAAGCTGATGCTGCATGGTCTGGATGATTGAGAGGTTGCTTGGGATTCCTGTAGATGAACAACACATGAAGCAAAAGAGAAGGCGGAAAGATGATGACAATGTTGCTGTGAAGAATTCACAATACTCTTTAAATTTGGGTAAACTACGAGAATGCTTCCAGGTGATGCCGGATAATCCAGTGGATCGAGAGATTCATTGGCATGCTCGAGCGATTGTTCTAGAAATCCTTGGCTCCACGGTGTTCACTGATACATCTGGAGATGGAGTGCCAGCTATGTATCTTCAGTTTATGCAGAATGCAGGGCAACCAAAGAGTATAGTTGGGGAGCAGCTGTTCTTGCTATGTTATATAGACAGTTGAGCATGGGGGTTGAGAAGGAGAGATTAGAAATTTCGGGGCCTTTGTTGCGGCTACAGTTATGTTCCTGGTCCCATTTGCCACTTGGTCGCCCTAAAAATATTATTGAGAAGCCAAAGGAAAGGGAGGAACCTGGAGATGAGGAAGATGAAGAAGTAGACTTGGATTATAACCCTGTATTTGGAGCAAAGTAGTGTGCTGGACATGAATTTGATGTTCCACATAATGCGGGTATCGTACTGTACTCACCTCATCTATTAGCCATTGTTTGTGTTATGCCAACTAACTTTTCTCACTTGCAAATGAACTATATAGGTACCGAATATTATCCAAATCAGATATATTTGATTCGAGAAGGTGCAATTGAATGGTAACCATATGAAGACCTTCTGGATGAGATGCCTGTCGAAGTACTGGATGAGATATACTCCGGGAGAGGTTTCACAACATATCTCAATGTTGGTGAAGCCATGATAGATGGAGGAGCACCTGTGATACATTCTGGAAAACCACCGAGCGAGGTTTGATGTAATGAGCAATGCATTGCACTTTCATAGGTTCGTTCCTGATTTCAGTTCTTCGGATGTCCCTTGCAGTATTGACTTGGTTCAACATGTCTCCATTTGGCGAGATGTTAACATATAGCTCTATCACTTGCCATGTTGTCCGAGACTTCGTCTTCTCAAAAATCATGGTCCATCCTCTTTCCTCATATATTGGAACTAATTGAAAATATTGTGGTCCAGGAGCTCCAGTATCCAAGCGAGCTTGCATATTCAGGTTGTACTGATCATCGCCAACTCCAAGTCCTCGGCATATCTCACTCTTGACATCTTCAAAAGTGGTTTTCTCGGATGCTGGAAAAGTGACTTTGGGAGGAACACTATAATACACACCCGTGGATCCATGTTGCACTTCACCATCCACATATGCCAGTACGATTAACATGTTTTTATTTTCACCTGCTAACATGAACATGCAAGGTATAAATATGGCAACCTTACATTGATCTGCTGCGGACTTTGTAAAGTTGAATTTTTGCAACCTATCAATTCTCTTAAACATACCAATTTCAAACTGTACCACCACATGAATATTGAAACCAAATTTCTAAATTGGACAAAGAACCAACAAAGATGCAAGACAACCGTAGCACAACTCTCATGTTCCAGCCGCGAGATGATTAGAGGATCCTAATGGTGAGCCGGGAATAAGAGAGATAGGGCTACCGTGATCAGAGACGTCGAGTGATGGGGGCTGGTTAGCACATGGCGACGTTGACGAGCGGCGATTCCATGCGTTCTAGGGTTTACAGGCGACAAAACTTCCGTCTGTTTGAGAAGAACGATTCAGTTTAATCTTTTTAACTGCGGCGGATCAAACCAGTTACGAGGACGGGGTTGACACTAGCGTCCAGGTCAGAACGCTGTCCGTAATAACGTCTAGGTCTGGACGCTGTTCTCCTCAGCGTCCTTCCTATTTTCTAAATTTAGACCAATCCTTTCCCAGTTTCGTAATTACGTGATTATTAATAAAAAAATCGGCCGAAGACGAGTTGCAGACCCCGCGTTTTGGGACTTCCAGTGGCTCGCCTCCGTGGCTCCAACGACTCAGAGGCAGGGGTCCTTGCGCCCAGAACAAATTGTTGAGGGCGCTCGCCACACAACCTCCTCTGCCGGAACGACCGCGCGCCTCCACCAGGGACCACAACCCTGCACCACCCAGGTAACCCTTCCTCCTTCCGATAATAATTATGCTCATTCATTTTTGCAACCTGCGATTAATCCCCAATCGTCTCGTAGCGCTGCTCTTTCACTGCCAGCTATAAATGGCCGGGGTTGCGTGCTCTTCACACATAGTCGAATCAAGAGGGAGTCGCCGGAATTTCTTTGGAGCACAAGGGGAATGGATGTCGGGACGGGGAACCTGCGTATGTTGTACCACGGGCTGCACGAGCGGCAGCTCTGCGGGCTCCATACCCTGAACGCCGCGTTGCAGGATCTGTTCTTCAGCGAGAGGGACCTTCTGCAGATCGCGACATACCTCGACGCTCGCAAGCTGGAGGTCATTTCCCGCGCAGGCGCCGTGGGTGCGGGGGATTTTCTCAACAGCGGGGACTTCAACGTTGAGGTGAATTATGGCTCGCGTAATGCTTGGAGATGGATCCTCCATGATTTGTTTTTGTCATATTAGATTAGAGATTTCTATTATTCATGTAGTGTGTAGACACATTTTGTAGATCGCTTTTCTTATTTTTCCCGTGAAATAACCTGCATAGCTTGTGTATGCCAAGAGAAAACAGTAAAACAATATTTTCTTTTTGGGGTTTTATATCTTATCAGAAAAGTTACTGAAAGGGGTCACTTGCGTAGTCCCAGATTATACGACTTCAATTTTGCATCCTTTAGGAGATTAAAAAGAACTTCCTTTGAATTACCCATTAAGTACTGATAGTGAAAACAGTGAATAACCTTTTTTTTTTGCCACGAACTTGGGGAGCTTTATTGCATAGCTAACATGTGATTACAATCTGCCCGAAGGCCACTAAGCAGGAAAGGAGGACAGCTCTCAAGCCAACAGTCTGAAACCAATAAGGAGCAGGCCCGTTTAGCACAAGAATCTGCCAAAAAAATTGCCTCCCTTGGGACAAATCTAACTGAGAAAGAGATAAAAGATGAAGATTTCTCCCCAATGTCTAGTAAAATAGGCGCAACAATTGACCTCGAACTGTCACGCGATAACCAGAGGTTGACAACCTTTAAACAATCTACTTCCATCAGCACATGTGAGAAGCCACGTAGTTGAGCGAAGATGACTCCTTCCCGTAGAGCCAAGGCCTCCGCAACGAGAGGATCTGTCACCCCCGGGAAGGGTTTACTCCATGCTCCCATGAACGAGAGGTGAGATCGAGCTATCCCACCCCCTCCCACACACCGAGCTTCGTTGTTGATTGCACCATCCGTGTTGATCTTTAACCAACCCACATCTAGTATGCGCCACTGTGCTCCTGCCACACCACGCGTAGGCTTCGGAATATCAAGCATTAAGAGATCATCACGTACTGTCTTTACCGCTTGAACTGGATCATAGCCGACCTTGTCATGAGTCCATCGATTCCGATCAGACCATATTGCATGCATGACCGTTATAATTTTGCATCTGTCTTGGTCTTGTATGATCTCGTCCATCAACACATCCCTTGCCCAAGTGGCAGGGTGTAACCTGGGTAGTTTCAAACCCAAAAAATCTCGTGCTGCTACCCAAAAAAGTCTGGCATGTGAGCAATTTATCAGTGCATGTCGCAGATCTTCCACTGAGGCCTTGCAAAAATCACACACTGCTGTCGTCCGGATATGCCGATGCTGAAGGGTAGCATAGTCTGGTAGAATTCCACGCAAGACCCGCCACCAGAAAACACGGACTCTAGGAATAACCTTTAGTTTCCACAAGGCGATCCACATGGGTCTATCTGACGTTGAAGACTCCGCTATCGTTCCTTCCTCTAGAGCTAAGCGCTCTTTCCGAGTCACTAGAGCACGATAAGCCGTCTTAACAGAGTAGACACCGGACCTTTCCAAGTCCCATGCGAGATAATCCTCGCCACCAGGCACTCTCAGCGGTATATTCAGAATTGCGTCCACGTCTGGTGCAAGAAAATTCCTTCATACTAAGTCCACATCCCACGTACCACTCTCCTGATCAAATAACTCAGAGACACGATTTACAGGATCGTTCCCAATGCGGCCCATTGGTTTGAGAGTAGCCGTGTTTGGGATCCATCGATCCGTCCAGATGGAGATAGATTCACCATCCCCAACTCTCTTGATCAATCCTTGTTCCAACGCAACTCGCCCAGCAATAATAGCTTTCCACGTAGCAGACGCCGAGCGAGGTGCAGTAGCGTCCATGAAGCTGCAGTCATGGAAGTACTTGCCTTTCAGAACTCGCGCACACAAGGAGTCAGGGTGTGTCATTAGCCGCCACCCGTGCTTTCCGAGTAGGGCTAGATTAAAAAGTTCAAAGCTGCGAAAACCCATGCCTCCTTCTGGTTTCGAAACAGAGAGATTCTTCCAAGAAAGCCAATGATGAGATCTCCTGTCAATGTCACTGCTCCACCAATATTTAGCCATGGAAGAAGTTAGTTGTGAGCAAACCCCCTTGGTCAACTGGAAGCAAGGCATGCTGAACGTAGGGATGGCTTGGACCACAAATTTGAGCAAAACTTCCCTCCCTGCACATGCCAACTTCTTTTCTGACCAGCCTTGCATTTTAGTCCGACTTCTCTCACTAATGTGAGAAAAACTTCCACTAGTGATCCTGCCGACCGCTGTTGGTAAACCCAAGTAGCGTTCAGTAAAAGCTTCAACATGAATTCCTAGTGCCTGCTTGATCTCAGCCCTTAGAGGTGGTAATGCATTAGGACTGAAATAAACGGCGCTCTTCTCCCGGTTTACTGCCTGTCCAGAGCACGCAACATAAATCCTGAGGATATCATTCAAACGATCTGCACTTTGCACCTTTGCATTCATAAAGATTAAACTGTCATCCGCAAAGAGCAAGTGATTTACCCAAGGCGAGTGGACACTCACCCTAATGCCTCGATCAATATATGCACCACCATAATAATTCATTAAGGATGTGAGGCCCTCTGCACAAATAAGAAAGAGA